TTTTACACGCACACACACTGGACACCTGCCATTACTATGACCTGATGAGTTGTCGGGCTATTTGCACGTTTGCAACTGAAATATCCTTCTGGCCCTCCAGGTGGCACCAACAGCTATGAGAACTATTACAACCTTCCAATATCAGCATTTCGGACCAATTGCGTATTTGGTACTATCTGGACATTTTTTGTCGACACATCTGAAAACTAACCAATGATTTGGTGAATGGTAATTAATATTGCAGGTTTAGGCTGCCCATATTGATCCATTGTTTTAAGTGGGGTTTCAAAATTTCATTGCAAAGGAGAGCACAAAAGTGTTTTTTGCTCGACAACTACTTTTGGGTCCTTGTTTTGTAATAATCTTTTGGCCCACCCTTAATCTCAACATCTTTTGGTATTTATGTTATTTTACAATTTGGAAAAGCGTCCTTCTTATTGGACATGTGGAAAAATAATGAATTAATCGAGTAATGCTATCTACCTCTACGTGGTGCACCATGTGCATCCGTGGCACGCAATTGGTCAAGTACAAAGTATTCATGGTACTCATTCGAGTATTTCTGCAGTGCCTAAGCAAAGACTATAGTGTGCAAGGAAAAGTCGGTGGAACCCTTTCAAAGTTTAACGGATGTTTCCTTGCACAGCTCTGAATGAAGATAGATTTGGTAAGGCTTTGTGGGAATCAAATTCTTTATTTTGAGCAGTTGCCCGGGTCAAATTTCTGAAAACTTTGGTTTAGAATTCACAGTATGTATGTTTCAAAACCCTTCAAGATTTCAGCCCAGCTAGCAAATTAACGTAGTCAATATTACCATGCCCATAAGAGGAACCGTGCAGAAGATTGGTCATCACTAGTGTGTAAAATCTGTGGTGTCGAATTGGTGCAGGGACGGATAAGAGGCGCTACTTTGCGTTTCTGCGTTTGTAGATCGGCTGTTTTTATGGCTCAGTAGTTCCCCTTCTTCCAGCGATCGATTAATAGACACCAGACTTGTATGAGAGGATGAAAAACTGGCCTGAACATCGGTTATCTCATTCAGGTTGTTTTATAGGCCAAATACTTTTTTCGGTTTCCAAGCTGGAACGGGTATACAAGAAATTGGGCTCATAGTCTTACGCACCTAGGTAATGAGTATGAAATGAATAATCTTATTTTCAATGACCGATTTCCGATTTGAATTGAGCGAGAACTTCGCTACAATACCTCATGAGTGTATCTCATTTTTTTAATGAATGCCAGACATTTTGTTTCTACCAGATGTTTAAATGGTGTTCGAACGCATGGCGCACTCCAGCGTTGTATAATTTGCTCTTTGATTCAAGCTGTGGCTGTCCGCTACTCATATTTGGAATCATGGCGGTAGTTTCCGATCTATCATCGTCATGTTGGCTTTGATAAACAGCGATCCCAGCTTGTGCTAGCTCACCTGCTCATTGTCGCCATGTGATTGATTATGCTAGGTAAACGCCGCAATTATTCAAATTTTAACATTCTCTCCTAAAAACAATCGATTAGTTCTTGCACCCTTCCTTTCGAAAATTTTAGCAAGGCATGAAATTAAACGTAAATAAAAAAGTCGTTAATCAGTCCTTTTTGGAAGGCGTCACGCATTCTACT